TTCTTTATCTTTAACTAGAGATAATAATGGCAGCTACCTCAGGGTTATTGTAAGGATCAAATAAGATAATAATTGTAATGTGCTGTGTAAACTTTGAAGTTCTATGTAAATGCTAGTTATTAAGTGCCTATTGCCAGTTTCCTAGCTGCTAAGGATACAAATACAATGAATGAAACCATCCCTCATTGTAAGAAACTTATGTTCTAATGGAAAAGACAAGTACATATCTATTTATGGAATAATATGGGGCAAAGGTCAGGAGGGAATGTATTGCAGGCATGGGAAACAGTGCAACAGCAGAGATGGAACAAGAGGGGACTAGATTGCTTAATTGCATAGTGTAAGGGACAGGAGGAATTGTGTTCTATGAGGCTGAAAAGACAGATTGGGTCAGTTTATGAAAGGTTTTAAAATTTAAACAGAGAAGTTTACATTTTATCCTAAAGGCAATAGAGCAGGGGTGGGGAACTTGTGGCCTTAAGGGCACAAGTGGCCCTCTAGGTCTTCAAGTGCAGCCCTTTGATGGAATCCAAACTTCACAGAATTCCCTTAATAAATTCCCTTAATAAAAAAATTTGTTGTGTAAAACTTGGACTTAGTCAAAAGGCCACACCCAAGGCCTTTGAGGCTTCAGGTTCCCCACACCTGCAATAGAGGTATGTCCAATGATGCCAAATGCAGATGTGCAACCTTTCTAAAACTTATAGAGAGTTTTCTAGAACACTGAAAGACTGAGAGATTTACTCCCAGGTCACACAGCCAGGATATGTCAGAGACAGGAGTAGAATCCAGGTCGTCCTGACTATAGGGCCAGTTCTTTCTTCAGTGCTTCCCACTGCCTGTCTTGGTGTGACAGGCTTGCGAGTGTCTTCTACTCCAAAACTCAGACAACGATGTGTTATATGCTTTTTTTCCTCAGATTATCAGTACCCAGCCAAGTTACCTACTATTGAAGATACTGTCCACGTTCATTTGTGATTTGAATAACCAGTAATGTGTTAGGTATTATGCAGAACGTAGAGGTATTGAACTTCACCTAACATGACAGGGAAATAAAAACACATGAAGAGAATGTATGTATACTTCAGGGGAAGTTAAACAGCAGCCTGCTCTGTAGTGATAGTTTTTATTTAATCTGTTAATGGATGGTAACTAAACCAGATATAGGCAGTGTGTGTTTTGGGCATCTTCATATTAATTCTACCCACTCTCATTTTTGGCTTCTGATCTCATCTCAAATAACTCTCCCCTTCTATCTAGTTCTTGACTCCAAAATGTTATAGTTTAGGCATTCTTTAGAGTGGACTTTTACAATCTGAACTTTTTTTTTCTTTTCTGCTTTGCAGATGTACCTCCTGCTGATCAAGAGAAGCTTTTTATCCAGAAGTTGCGTCAATGTTGTGTCCTTTTTGACTTTGTTTCTGATCCACTAAGTGATCTAAAGTGGAAGGAAGTAAAACGAGCTGCTTTAAGTGAAATGGTAGAATATATCACACACAATCGAAATGTGATCACAGAGCCTATTTACCCTGAAGTAGTACATATGGTAAGTGATTACATTTAATTATAGTTTCTAATCTTTAGTTAGGTGGTGGATTCAGGTATTTACAGGGTGGGTTGAGGTGGCATGTAGACTACTTGACATCATCAGTCTTTTCTGTTTACGTTTGGAAAGATGTAGGCATTTGTCATAGTTGTGTGCAGTGTATCTTAACTGTGTATAATGTATAAATATTTATTGTACATCATAATTACCATGCTCAGTACATGGAAGTTAACCACAACTTCCTTGCCTGACTAGAAGAATCAATGTGAATTAAAATAAACATGTAAACATATAGCCACTTTATTTGGGCTCCTGGACCAGGCCTACTTGGTTCACCTTAGCTCTTTTCTCTTATAATTGTACTGTCTGAACCTTAGCATTTACAGCTATGTCATGAAACTAAAGGTGGGTAATTTCTCATAGCTATTCTTGTCTTCCACAATTGGCACTTTTCCCTGCTGATAATAACAATAGTTCAGTAGATTTTATCTTATCAACGTGAATACTACATCCAGTAGTGTAAATTGGAGGTCCTCCATATCTTCTCATCTGATGCAATTCCTGTCCATTTTCTTCCATAAATCCTTCATAAAGGATCTATATCCATCATTGTAGGGATCTTCCTCCAAGTCTTATTACCAGCATAATACACAGTGCACCATGTACCAGTGCATCTTTGAGGTTGTATTTCTTTTGTCCTTTTTTCTTGACACCTCACTGTTCTGCCTCTTTACCAGTCATATATTCTTGAATCATTTCTTTTTGTCATTTTTTGCACATAAGTGATTTTTGGTAATATGTTACAGCCAACTTATATCCATCTTGTGTTTTCTCCATTTTTTTTTGGGTCTTCTTTAAATTTTATTCTTCAGAAATTGTAGTGATCAATGATTGGCAGCCGTGTTAACCTTCCCAAGAGAAAATTGGTGTTTAAAGATGGGATTTGGCCTGAGAAGTTAACTTAGGATAAAGGAAAGTACCATGTAGCTTTGGGCCCAGCTCGTCGTCTGTCCACAGCATCTGCCTGAGATGATTCCTTAGGCTTCCTGTCCACTTGCATACCATCCTTTATCTATTTGTTTTATGTTGTGTTTTCTTTCTCTATTAGAAGACTTTTCTTAGATAGCTTTGGATCTCATGAAAAGGGAATACATGGGCTTTTGCAGTTTTCTACAACAGACTACACCTTCACAGTAATATAATTGACTGAAAGTTTTAGAAGATAAAAGATTTTTACTGTGTTTTGATGGAGTGGTGTTTTGTTTTTTGTTTGTTTTTGTTTTTTTTTTTTAGTTAACAAAAATCCACCTTCTCTTCTTCCTTGTTCTGCACCATACCTCCGGTTGAAAAAGAAAGAAAAACAAAACCTTTATAACAAATGTACATAGTTAAGCAAAAAATGCCAGATTGGCCATTTCCAGAAACATATATGTCTCATTATACACCTTGATTCCATTACGACTCTGTTAAGAGATGGGCTGCCTGTTGTATCATGTGTCCTCGGTTGGTCCATGGTTGGTCATTGTATTGATCAGAGTTCCTAAGCCTTTCAAAGCTAATCTTTATTATTAGTGTTATTAGTATTTTAATTATTAACAGTCTTTACAGTGTTGTTGTTAGTATATAAATTCTTCTCCTGGTTCTGCTCATTTCACTGTACATCGGTTCATACAAGTCTCCCCAGGTTTCTCTGAAATAGCCCCCTTCATTATTTCTTACAGCACAATAGTACACCATCCCACTAATATATACCTTGAGTTGTAGTTTTTTTTTTTTAAGCATTCCACTCCAAAAGTCAGCCTTAAAAGCTTCCCTCCAACAAGGTGTCTCCAAGCTTCAAGTTACTATGTTTGTTACAGTCATACAAAATTCCTTGATACATGTATAACCACAGACATAATTTTGGGCAAGCATTCTCTGTCAGTATTAAGTATGCCATGGAACAAGGAGACATCTTAGCCCAGGATATTCACCACTGTCATGGAGAACATATTGCACAGAACCCACATGGAAGGAGTCCTTACAAATGGTGAGGTCGTTCAACCTTGTAGTCACTCATATTTGTGATCTAAGTCATTATTTATTCTCCGCTCTCCTTCACATTCCATATCCAGTTGATTGCCAAACCTTGCCGATTCTACCTGTATACCATCCTCTTATCTATCACCTTATCTTCACTCATCTCTCACCTGGTTTATTGTAATAGTCTCTTAATTGTGCTCCCTGTTTCCAGTCTGTGCCCTCCAGCCCTCTTCCTAAGGAACAGCTATGACTATATCATCACTTCTTCAAAAATCTTCAGTGGCTCCCTCTTCCCCCCGAGCAATATATAGACTCAGCCTGGCATTTACAGGCTTCCACATTCTGGCTTCTTTGTCACTTCCCAGACCTAGTTCATGTGACTTCTCTCTGCATTCCAGCCAAATTGGAACTGTCCCCTGAAACTCAACATTAGTCTTCCATATCTATGCCTTCTTACAGACTGTCTCCTATGCCATTTGCGTTCCCCTCTCATCATCCATATCTTCCTTCTAGATTCAACTGAAATATCACTTACCTTGGGAGGCTTTTTTGGATTTCCCAGTTAATACTCTTCTTTCTATCTTTAAAATACTTGTAATTTACCTATAATTATAAGACAGCTAGCTGGCACAGTGGATAGAGTGCTGGACTTGGAATGAGAAAGATTTGGGTCTGAATCCTGTCTAAGGCCTTTACTTAACTGTGTGACCTTGGGCAAATCATTTAACTTCAGTCTACTTCAGTTTCCTCATCTGTGAAGTGGGGTAATAGTAGTACCTACTTCATAGGACTGCTATAAGCATCAAATGAGATAGCATATGTAAAGCTCTTTGCAAATCTTAGGGTACTATCCAAATGTTAGCTATTATCATTGTTGTTATTAGGTTGAATTACCTTCCCACCCTCAGCCTTCAAATGGAAAGGAAGGCATGTTCCTCAAAAAACAGAAACTGTTTCATTTTTGTCTTCATGGCCCCAACGCCTAGCACAGTGCCTTGCACGTCTTGTGTATTTTGTAAGTGTTCACTGAATTAAATTTAAGTCAAGGGATACAACAGGGCTTCATCAGTAATAATAACTTATATTTATATAGTGCTTTATGGTTCACAGAACACTTTCCCTGCAATAATAACCTTGTAATATAAATACTGTAGGAATTATTACTCCCATTTTACAGTTGGGGAACATCATTCTCAGAAAGCTTGTAACTTGCTTGCAGTCATGAGCTAATAAGGAAGCAGATCAAATGCCTTTTCTTGTACCCCAAGCTGAGTCCATGCCTAATTGTACAGCCTTATAGCTTTGAAATGTCTTCATCTTCAGCTAGAAGACAGTATCTGCTTCTGTACAATGAGGGAGGTAGAGAAGAGGTTGGATTTGATGGTCTCTGAAATCTGTTTTAGCCTTCATTCTCTAACTGGAATCTTCTACAGCACAGCCATTCTGGGGGGGAAGAGATATAATACTTAAATGTTTGTTGTTTGGGTAGATATGTTCTCCATGCAAATATTTAAATATTTTCAGAGGCCTTAGTTATTTTGATATTTAATTATTTGCCCCTGTTAGCTACAGTTGTTTATTAAGCTTTGGAATAAGAAAATCCTAGGGTATTCATATGATTGACAAATATTACTAATCAGTATGTTTCTAACATCAATTTCCAAATCTTTACTATTCAGTTGATTGTCCTTAATAATAATACTGTTTAAAAAAAAAACCAAAACAACACAGGTTGCATATCAAAATCAATACTTTTACTCTGAAATGAAAACTTTTTTATGAAAGGAGTTTCTTTCCTCACCTCTTTTGTACTTCATAATCAGTGTTGTCTCAGATGTTGGATAGGCCTCCAATTTGTGTTCATTTGATCCCTGCTGCTGTTCAGCAACCATTGTAACTAAAGACCAATTTGACAGCCTCCCTCCAACATTAGAAACCAAGTGCTAGAATCATAGGATTATAGAATTAGAGCCAGAAGGCACTTTAGAGGTCAAGTAGCTTAGGCTTCTTATTTTTCAGATGAGAAAACTGAGGCTTAGAGCTAGAAACCCAGACAGTTTGACACCAAATTCAATATTCTTTCCACTGCCTCATGGGGACAAAATAATAGCACAAGAACTGATTAACTCCTACTAATTGGACAACGCTTGAATTAGTAAAGAAATTTGTAAATAGTAAAAAAAAAATTATTAATAATTATAATTTTTATTTTTAATTTAGACCCAGAGAATAATTCAGACTAACACAGTATTGACTATTGATTGCTTTAGAAGATAAGCAGTATCTTTTTTCATGAAAAAATGTGCTATAGTCCTTTAAAAAAATGTTTTGATACCTTTAATTTGCCCAGAATAACCATTATTCCTAGAGGGGGCCAAGATGTAACTTATGCTTTGCTTTGACTGAATTGTCTCAAATTTTGATTTAGTGAAGTCTGTACTTGGACTTTTTTACTTCATTCCCCCAAACTCTATTTTGTTAAGTTTTTTTTTTTAATTAAAATTCCTGTTTGAGTTCAATCTTTTTGTCTTTATCTTCATTTTTATCCTAACTCTGAGATTTATGTATATGCATCCTAGCTTTTGACCTCATTCTTCAACTGAAACTTTTCTCCAAAGTTAGTGTTATTGTTCAGTCATTTTTTAGTCATGTCTGACTCTTTGTGACCCCATTTGGGGTTTCCTTGGTAAAAAATACTGGAGTGATTTGCCATTTCCTTCTCCAGCCTATTTTATAGATGAGGAACTGAGGCAAACCAGGTGAAGTGACTTGCCCAGGTGTGAGGGTCTGAGGCCAGATTTGAATTCAGGAAGACGAGTCTTTCTGACTCCAGGCCCAGAACTCTATCCACCTAACTGCCCCCTGCTGAAGTTAGTAATGATCTCTTAATTGCCAAATGCAGTAACCTTTTCTCAGTCTTCATTCTCCTCAATTTCGCTGTAGCCTTTGACAATGTCTGTCATCCTCGTCTACTTGAT